TCAAAAGGGTATAACCACCAAGGCAACACTCCAAGGTCATAAAAATCCATTAAAACCTTAATTCCTCTCCAAATATCAATTTAGGATTCAAACCTCAAGGACCCACTATAGGAATTCAACACCCAATCACCCCATTTGAACAATTGAAGTTCTAATAACATTCTAGACCGATTAAACATCCAATTTATCCCTCCTTAACATAAACCGAATCACAAAACTCAGAATCAACCTCTACATTATCATCCTCAATCACAAACCTTCCATTTCCATAAACCCTAGCTTCAAAACTCAAGGTTCTTTAAATCCAAGAAAACTACACCGATTAAATACTTAGACTAACCCAAAGCAATCAATTAAACTCAAAACAATCGGTCAAAAACCTCAATTCCATAACAACCTAGAAAACTCTAGGGTTTCACCATAAATCCTCAGAAATTCCAAGAAAGAAAGTAGATTAGAGGTTAAAATCACTTACTTGAGGTAATGGATCCTTAGAAACACCTTTCCCAAGCCACAACACCAAAACCCTAGCAGAGCTTCTCTCTCCTCCTTCAGATTTTTCTAATTTTCGCACCAACAGACCCTCCCGCGACTATATAGATTCGGCACCTTTCGCCGCGGTGAACCCAGAACTTCGCCGCGGCGAACTAATCCCGAGAGGGATTACTCGCATGAAAACCTGACTTCGCCATGGTGAAAGCTTCCCGAGAGGAAACTCTCGCTTGCCCAGAAACCTTCGCCGCGGCATACCCCTACCTTCGCCGCGGTGAGACCTTCCCGAGAGGAAAACCTCGCTCACCTGAACAATTTCGCCGCGGCGTCCCTATGACTTCGCCGCGGCCAAACCTTCTCGAAAGACAATTTCCCTTGGAACTCCCGGTTCGCCGCAGCAAACAAACCCTTAGAGGGGTCTGTTCACCTATTCCTCCAACATACCTCAATTCCAACCCAAACACCACGATCAACATTAAATCACTAATCTATCCTCAAAATCAACCAAAAGAGGTTATTAAAACCCGATAAAACTCAGGATGTTACACTTCACATTCTCTGAAAATGGTTTTATGCGAAGAACAGAGACAGAACCAAAAAGAGGAATGCTAGGCAATAACATTTTAAGCTATGGGGACCCATCGAAAATGCTCTATAAAGAATAATATTTAAGCTTCCTACTTGTTTATCACAGTTGATGTTACTTCAGCGACCTCTTCGACAGCGACAATCTCAGGGAGTACAAGTTCTTTCAGACAGGGCAATGTATTAACTTTTATAATTAACTACATGTATAATAAAATCTATCATTCACGTAATGGGATTTACCAAAAACCAGCAGGCATATGACAGTAGTTACATTACGTAATTGCTTGCCACTATTTTCTGATTTCTGCTTCATCATTTAACTAAATATAAACCCTCAAATGCAATAATCCTGTTCCTATTTCACGATGAAGCAGCCACAAAAATGAATAATCCAAATCCCGCCATCAACTTCTACTCACTCACGTATTCCTACAGGTTCACTCCCTCTCTTACTACAAATCCTCTTTCCCACAACCAAAACCCACCAAATCAACAATGTCTACAGAATAGTGATGCGGAGGAGTAAGATAATAGTATTTTCAACATTCTTCTTTCCTTCTTCCCATGTTTCATCGTCTTCCTCTGTTTGCTTTCTCTCACTTTTAGACAGGGCAATTCCATCTTTTGGCCAAAAATCTGAATTCTATATTGGTACCCAGTACCCTATTTGTCATTTTGCTTATTCAGTTGCCTTATTAATCTTTTTAAAATTCACATGGTATTTTGCTGTTATTCTTCCTTTTTTATATGCTATCACATCTTCTTCTTCTTTTTTTTCCCCAATAAAATGCTATCACGTCATTTAGTTGTTTATGTCGAGTCATATGATTGATTTGATTTTGCAATAGAAAATTCTTTTTATGCTTATGCGTAAGCGCATTTTTAAAATTTTTTCAGCGAAGCATTTTAAAATTAAATTTAAAAGCACAGTTACTTAGAAAAAACATACCCTGTCGACAAATGACATTTATTTTTAATAAATAGTAAGTGAATGGTAAATTTAATTGAAGATTGATTTTTCATATTGATATACATTTGTTTTGATTATAATGGATGGTTTTAACTTCAAATTTCATGAACAGAAAAAAGTGACAAAGGAGGGACTAGCGACAAGAGCCATGGGAAAGGAATTGGGGGGGAAAAATCCCATATTTTTCTTATTCTGCTCTGTATGGTTTCTATTTCTAACACCAATTTTCCTTTTTATTTAGAAAAAGGCCGCAATAAAGGCTAGGAGCCAGTACTATTTAAAAAAATATATAAAAACCAGCAAATTGCATTTTTAAATATGGACTGCTAGTATGATTATTAAATACCATACAGCCGCCGTAAAGAAAACGAAAAAAATTAGCTTCATGTTTGTTTTTTGTTTTTTTTTCGCGAATAGCTTCATGCTTGAATCTATTTTCATGTATATAAACCACTAGCAAGGCCAACCTACATAAATTGGACGTCTCTTAATCAATATTAATAATTTTATTGATGATATTTTCTAAAAGAGCTTATTATTGAAAATACGATTCAAATGCTTCAAAAAGTTTAAAGGACTTTAAGCCCTTTTCCGGTCAAAAAAGAAAGGAACTTGGGTACCTTTATTTAATTGTTTTGATGAGATTTTAATTAAGTAAGTAATTATTTTATGAGACAGCTGACGTTTCAAGGGGCGTTTTGGGGATTGAGTCTTCAAGTTTTAGAGTTTGGATTTAATTGTTTGGACTAATTGATTGATTTTTAATTTGCACGAAGCTTATCATCAGAATAATTTTTTTTCCCTGAAAAAAGGGATTGTTTAAACTTTTGGTGAGTTGAGTGAGCCGAGTTGTTGAACTCACAAAATGAGATATATTAAAATTCATAACCTATTCAGAATAAATAGATTAAATGGGATACATTCACTTAATTCATAATCATTCGGCTTGCCCACTCTAATATATGTCTTATTGTTGTTATACTTGCACTATAATACTCCTCCGATCCTAAATATAAAACACACTTTGTAGTGTAATTTACACTACAAAGTGAATCTTAATTATACTATAAAGTGGATTTTATATTTAGGACCGGAGGAGCATATAATTTAGTTGGAAACAAAGTTTGAACTTGTTAGAGAGTGAAACCTAATTTCTTTGATGCTCAAATATAATGCTCAAGTTTGATTAGCATCAAAGAGTTATAGCTTAACTCATTTGTATTATTGTCTATTACTTCTTCATTTACATGCGCTGCCAAAACAAAAAAGAAGTTACAATGAGTTTTAAGGGAAGCATTGAACATGCATAAATTAATTAGCCACGTCAAAAATAGTAAAACTAGTTGAAATATTGTCACCATTAATCCTAATTAAGACTTTGTTAACATAATGTGGTGTGTTAGAAATATATTACTTTCGATCCTATTTATAAAATCTTAGTTATAGACTATCAATAATATTTTATAATTAGGACCCGATATACTCCTCCGGTCCTTATTATAAGACCTAATTTGACTTTTTATTTGGTCCTAATTATAAGACCCAATCCATTTTGTCTCTTATATTTATGCATTTTTTTCCAAGACAATCCTTCTAATAATGATAGTTTTAGCCAATATACTTAATTAGCAAGGATATTTTAGGAATGACAACACTTATTTATTATAAATAACCAACTTAACTTACTTCTTTAATCTTCTCAAATAAGTCAATTGGGTCTTATAATTAAGACCGGAGGAGTAGTATTTTTGTACACATACACAGACACTCCCATGCAAATTAACACATAAAGTTAAAAAGCAAAATAAAACCAATTAAAGAAAAGGACGGCAAATGACGCAGCTGCAGGAGGAGCAGCTCCGGTATTGAGAAGGCATGGCTGTCATGTCATGCAAAAGACCTTATAGTGGCAAACAAGGTTGCTAGAAATGAAAACGCTGTAAAGCACATGTGGGTACTATTTGCTAAATGGTCAAAGTTCATTGGCATATGGCATTATATTGCATTTTCGCATCATTTTGGAACATTCATCTGTCCTTCTATTTATGCTGTTTTTTTTTTTTTACTAACATTCTATCTCGAGTGCTAAATATAAAAGTTAATTAATTAATTTGAGTAGATTAAGAAAATAAGTTAAATTAGTTATTTGTAACAAATAAGTGTTATATTTCTTAAAATATCCTTGCTAATCAAGTGTATTGACTGTAATTACTATTATTAGAAGGACTATCTTTAAAAAAAAAAGATAAATATGAGAGACAAATGAATTGAGGTCTTATAATTATGATCAAAATAAAAATTAAATGAGGTCTTATATTAAATATCAGAGCTAGTATTTACTAAATGGTGACTTAACAGTTGCGATGTTTTTGTATTATTTTAGAATATTTGTACGTGCTTTTACAAAATGCACATATAATTTAACTGTTCTTCCAAATAACGATGGGATATTAAAATATCTATCATACCCTCCAACTAAATTACATAATAATAAAATATTAAAATTCTTCCTCTCCATCCTTCTCAACTAGAAACCTAAATGCAAGAAGAGATTAAATTAAAAATTAAATTTTTCATAATATATAGAAAAATGATGAGATAGTTATTATGAGTTTCAAGAGATTTAATTACTAAAAGGTTTTAAGACAAGTAATAGTATAATTTTGTTGTCATTTTTTTTATTAGAATTTGTTATTACATGTTTTTCAATTATTAAGGGACTTCTGAGTAATTAAATTTTTTTCATGAGGTCTGATAGTAATTTTCCTTAAATAATACATTTTCAAATTTGAAACTGGGTATTCTTTTTCTTTTCTGTCGCTATCAGGCCCACCGGTTTTTCTTCGTTTCCCGGCTTTTCTCCAGCCTGCAGAGAGCACATTGCACAAAGTCACTCGGCAACGAATCAGCCATTAGATGCTTTTCTCTGTTCTTTTGCATTCCCATTTTCCTTATCCCATTCGCATTCCACGTTCCTCCCACGCGCCTTCCCTCTTCTTCCTCAATTTCCATTTCCTTCTTCGCTCGCTTTGAATTCTCGTGCAGGTAACTGCCCCTTGCTTCCTCAATTTTTCTCTTCCCAATTCTGCATTGTGTTTCTCTTTGCTTCTTCACGTGTTTGACTATAACTTATTTTACGGTTATTTGAGTGTGATTTTCTTTTCTCAGCAGTTAAACTGTGATGCGTGTTCGTTTTCTTTCTTCAGTTCTGTGTTATGCCTCTTTTCTTTCCTTCTGTCGTTAATTATCATAGTATAGTTTAAATTGGAATTGGAAATCCTTGTCTTTTACATTCTCTATCTGCGAGTTGAGTTATTCCATCTCACATGCCTGACAGGAGATTTTAGTTGGTATTTATAAACTTCTGTCATCCTCTGCTATCTATAGACTATAATTTACCGATGATTATCGCTAGCGGTTCCTGGAAATTGTTTGTTATTCTTATTGAAAAGAGGAATGAAATTCTTGCCAGTTATGCAACTTTACGCTTCTACTTGAAACTGCAAATTACTTGACGAAGCATTCTTTTTGGTTTCATATATGATATCTTCTGCAGAACCGTAACACTCAAAATTAACAGCCAAAAGTCGACATATTACACCGAATTAGGTTTTCTTCATTTCATCGGAAGGAGAGAAGTTTGTTTAAAGTTTAAACCGACAAGAACAAAATAAAATAATTACTATATATATTATCCGAACCATATGATATTCATAAAATTGTCTGTAGGAGTGCTTATTGTTCATTTCTTTCGGCCTCAAGGAGCCTCGAATGAACTCTTGCCCGGATAACAAAATAGATTTGGAAAAAAGAAAGAAAGAAGAAGATAGAAACCGAAGTAGCTTTGGAATATGACAAAGGCAGAGTAACTGTTTTTGTCCCCAGGATATTAATATAATGTTGATGATAATACATAATCACACACTTTCAAGCATTACCTTAAGTATTTTTTGAAATGGAAAGCAATAGCAACCCCTGTAGATTCATAATTGATTCCTTCAACACTAAAAAAGTGAACACTAGTTTGTAAATTTAGGTTCCTTTCTCCATTTATCAACCGAAAAATGGGGTGCTTTTTTGAGAATTCGGGTCGAGGCATATTATTTTCTGCGCTGCTCTGTTTTCGTTTGCTGGATTACTATTTCTGTCTTTTTTTTCCTTGATGTCACTTTATAACTACAAATGTCCCAGTCTCTTGACATTTCATCATTATGTACTCCAATCTGTTTTTGGTCTTGCTCTATTTCCCCTGATTTCTGGTTCTTTAATTTCTAACATGACTTCTGCTCTTTTCCTCGCAACTAGAAATGCCTGAAATCCAGTTGGGTGCGCACACTATCCGATCACATGGAGCTAAGGTGGCAAGAAGACATTTGCATGACTGGTTGATTCTCATATTTCTAGCGGTGATTGATGTCGCTTTGAATGTGATAGATCCGTTTCACCGCTTTGTTGGAGAGTGGATGTTGACAGACCTGAAATTCCCGCTGAAAGACAATGCAATTCCATTTTGGGCTGTTCCAGTAATTTTTTCCTCCTGGGATCTATTTCATTCAAAGAAATTTATATCATGCTGATACTGCACATTATGTTGATGCCCATTAGCAAGATCAAATCAAAAGATAAACTCTTGAAATTTCATTATTCTGGGCAGTTGATAGCAATACTGGCGCCACTTATTGTCATTCTTGTTTACTACTTCATTCGCAAGGATGTTTATGACTTCCACCAGGCTATATTGGGTGCGTTTGGAACTTTTTCAAACATTCCATCATCACTCTGGTTTGACCATAAATCTTATCACGTCTTGCCAAATGTGTGTTCAGGTCTTCTATATTCTGTACTCATTACTGCTGTTGTAACTGATGCGATTAAAGATGGGATTGGACGGCCACGTCCAGATTTCTTCTGGCGTTGTTTTCCTGATGGCAAAGGGGTGCGTTCTCCATGTTGTGAATTCTAATCAGTTAAATTAACTAACTAACATCCTTTGGATGTGATACATATTGCTTTGGCTTAATAATAATGTGCTCACTAATATCGGCTTGATGAATTCGTGTGTGATATGATCAGGTGTTCGAACCGTTAACAGGAGATGTTCAATGTACTGGACGTCTGAGTGTTATCAAGGAGGGATACAAAAGCTTTCCAAGTGGGCATACCTCTTGTATGTACTTTGATCAATCCTACATAAAATTGTTACCTGCTTGATAGTTCAAATGGTTGATGTTTTAAGTCAAAGCATAAGTTCTTTGGGGTTACAGTAACATCCCCATATAAGAAGTCATGGACAAGTCAGCTTCCAGGCAAAAAGTGAACTAAGAATCTGAGCGTCCATATGTAATCATACTACTACAAAAGGTCTAAATTTTTTAATAAAACTCAAGTCTTTTGATTGCATGATTCAACTATTATGTCAGGGCAATTTCAAATTTTTGGTTTTATTGATCTATCTTGGGGATAGATTTTGATTTTCTGTCCCGTAGCAAGAGTTTATGACACGCTTCATCGAATCCGGTCGATGATAAAGTCTCCTCACTTTTTATGTGCAGGGTCTTTTGCTGGTCTTGGCTTTCTTGCCTGGTATCTATCTGGAAAAGTTAGGGCATTTGATCGTAGGGGTCACATTGCAAAGCTTTGTATTGTTTTCTTGCCAATACTCTTGGCAGCTCTGGTTGGAGTCTCTCGGGTTGATGATTATTGGCATCATTGGCAAGATGTATTCGCTGGAGGTCTTTTAGGTATCTTTTTTTGTTGTCTGCAGTCTGCCATCACAAATTCAAACATACCCGTTTTTTTTTATCTCTCTTTCTTTTTTTCTTTTTGATGTCAAGTTTCTTATTTGGGCATCTTTATGCAGGGATAGTAGTATCATCCTTTTGTTACTTACAATTCTTTCCACCTCCGTATGACGTAGATGGTATGTCCATGAATTGTTCTTTTATTATTTTTAAACTTTAATTAATAATATTGTTCTCAGCAAGTCTTTGATATGCTAGTCATGGCAACCCATTTATCCTTCAGTTCTTCCTTTTCTTAAGATACTAATAATGCACTGTAAATTATCAGATTGGGGGGGGGGGGGGGAGAACAATTAGTCAAACTGTAGCTTAATTTTTCTTTTCTTGCTTGTATTATGTAGGATGGGGACCTCATGCATATTTCCAGATGTTGGCAGAATCTCGAAATGGACTTCAGTCCTTTGCTATCAACAATGACAATCTTTGAGGGCTTATGTTTAAGAACTTGATGAGGTTTCAGACCGTATATATCCCACATTGTAGTGATCGCAAACTCAACAAGCCAGTATCTGACTCTACATTCTGAATTCAGTGGAGAGAAAGAAAAGATGCTAAATGTTCATAATCTGTAAAGGTCAGGGAAACAAAGAGAATGGGAGGGGAAAGAAAATTTTTAATGAACTTAATTTAAACAATTGAAGAAGTAAGGTTAAAAGCTTTCAATTGATTTTTATTAATCTTTTACTTTGCATTTTCTCTTTATTAAAATTTTAAAAACACACTTCTCCAATTTTTCAAATTAAACTCTTTAAAATCACCCCCACCCCCAAATTTCCCTGTACCAAATATATTTGAATCTCAAGTGCAGATATCTATGCGGCTTCGGACTTGTTTCCCAGAATTTTCATCGATCATTGCTCATTTTGCTAAAATCAGAGAAGAGCTGCCTTCTGGGGTCATTGGCTGTGGTGTGTCGGTTTAATTTTGATTGAGAAGACTTTGTTGTCTTAGAAATATATCCATTTTTTTTTCCGACAACAGACTTAGAAATATATCTTATATCTTTTTTGGGGTAACAATATGTCTTATATCTTAAGTGGGGCTGGTCAAAAAATATATCTTGAGTGGGCACGACATTTTTTTTTCCTTTCTTTTCTCTTTTTTTCCAAAATGGTTGGACTAACGTCCTTTAAATGTTTTTTCTTTACTTTAAGACATGCGTATAGTTCAATTTAAGTGTTGATATGATATCATTCATTAAACCATGTAGTTAGTCTTGGGTGAAAACTAAATGTTTAGTAAAACAAATATAAAGTTAGATTAAAGCATATCTCTTTTTATTCCAAGAGTAGTTAATTTATACTCAAACATAACGTACTCCTTATTCTACTCATAAGGGAGACAGAATATTTTATTTTATCTTGTAAGTTATATTATTAAATTTTTTATATGAATGTACAAATATTCTTTATTTATTATTCATAAAAAAAAGTAATTGAAGTGTAGAATATACATAATAAGTAAGAATAAGTTATTAAAATTTAAAATTTTTTTTAACTTTAAAAAAATATTTCTTCTGTCCTAAATATAAGACCTATTTTATAGTATAAATTACACTACTAAATGAGTCTTATATTTAAATGAGTGTATCTAGCAACTTGAAGTTTTAATTTTATTCTAAAATAATTATTGTTTTGTTATAACATATTCTATTTACTTTGTTTTTAAAAAATTTGTGTGCATAACTGTAACTTTAAATTCAAATGACAATTATTTTTAACTGATAGAATATTAATGAAAAGTATTTTTATACAAATTATGTTTGTTATTATTATTTTATAAAATCTGTTGATTATTTATTGTGGTGGTTGTTGTAAAAACATTAAAATCATTTCCATTCACATTTGTTTTCTTATCATCTAGGCCAAATTTTATTCTCTTATTCCCATATTGTAATATGCACACCAAACTTATTGATGCTAGTTTCTTCAAGCATCCTAATCTTCATGTATAAAACAAATTAGCCCTACTTTCAAATCAATTAATGACAATTCAATTCCTAGTCTTCATGAGTAATATAAATCTGATTGAGTTCATGTTTCTTTTTTTTTGGCCAAACAGATTGAGTTCATGTTTTGACTTTAGTACTTTGAGGAAGATTAATTTCTGTGTTCACCCATCCACACACAAACATGTGAATTAGTAAATAAAAATGGGGGCATTTATCAAAAACAAAGAAAGAAAAAAGAAAAGGCCAGCAAACCGCCTCCAGAGTCTAGATGGCCAATTGAAATATCTCTGTCGGAGATATCCCGATTCTCTAAAAGCTTCCGGTTCATATTGGATTTCCATTTTCTTGTTTTGCTAATTGATAACTAGAAAGAGTCATTAACATAATTTGCTAATTTGGTCTGGACTTAACAGTATATGCTTAGTACATTTAGTTAGTCTTGATGAAGTTAAAAAAAAAAAAAAAAACTCAGCTGTACATAGAGGTGGGAACAGGCCAGGCCAGGCCAGGCCTCACCCTTAACAGGCCTGGCCTGTGGTGAGGCCTGTTGGCCTGAGCCTGGCCTGCGGCCTGTGAAAGGCCTTTTAATTGGCCTGAGCCTGGCCTGTAACCAGGCCTGGCCTGGCCTGTGGCCTGTTAAGAGGCCTGTTTTTTAATAAACTTTAAACACACATAAATCAATTCAAAATTATAATAATTCAACCTAATTGATCTAAAATACAAACAAAAAATATGAAATTATCAAATTAACACAATTTGTAAAACATATCCCCTTAGGCCCAAAAAAAAATCTAATATGAAAAATTATTAGAAAACATAATTTCATTCTGATATAAAAATATCACTTCATCCCATCTCTAGTATAAAAATTAGTTGATGACTAGATCTAGTTTTAAATATGAAACATCTTTAATCCCTTTTATATTTTAAATTTATCATTTATTGATACTAATTTACTAACAAAATGATATTTGATATTGTTGTTACACATGGTTGTTTTTAAAAAAATTACAGTTGTTATAATTTATTTATTTATTTTAATTAATTAAGTAACTATTATAATAAGAATTAGATTGAGTACACATATACACGGTCTAAAACATAATAGGTCAATTCTCTATATGTATATATATATATATATATTCTATAAGCATGGATCAAATAAATGAATGATGCTTTTTTTTAATGCACTTATGTTTTCTTTCTCTATTCAAATGTGTGTCTTTATACATACATCGATTATTTTTATTATAGAGAATGGAAATGAAATGACGCATGCAATAGGCTCTAGATAACACGTTTATGTAGATAGAGTTTTCTCAATTAACCAATTAGAATAGCAAAGTCCCTCCCATCAATTTATAATTTTAACATAAAAAAAAAAAGATAACAGGCCCAGGCTGCCTGACAGGCCTAACAGGCTTACTATCAGGCCTAAGCCTGGCCTGATAAAGCAAACAGGCCTTTTTACAGGCCTGAGCCTGGTCTGATATCTAAATAGGCCAGGCCAGGCCAGGCCATTTACAGGCCAGGCCACAGGCCCCTGACAGGCCGCCTGGCCTATTTCCACCCTTAGCTGTACATTCACTCAGTCCTTTCCTTACCATGAACGTTGTGTTCGCGCGCAGTGGGTTCTCCCATTGCCCATCAGGTTGAGGTTAGTGATGATATCGTTGGAGTCCGGATTTGTTCATTGAAATAGGCTACTCCTAATCTATTGAACGAAGATTTGAATTCTTATTAAAAAAATATTTATATTTATTGTCCGATGATAGTGTCTTGAATAAAATGATTTTAATAAAAAGGTGCTTATATGTAGCGGGGAAAAAAAGAAAAAGAAAAAGGCAAAACTAAAATTTCATGGATGAGTCCATAAAACCCAATTCGGACCTTTTCAATTCAATTAGATTCCACATGTAATCCACATATGCCAAGCCAAATGGTGATTTGGTATGGATTTCAATTTGATTTCAACTCCATTTTCATTCTTTTAATAAATAGGAGTGTTAGCTTATCCCGTCCTGGTCAATTCAGGACGAGACTAAACAAGAAATTTTTTTTTTAAATAGGATAAAACAATAATCAAAATGAGATAGGGTTGTACCATCTCATCTAGTTTCAGGATATTTATTTAGTTATTTTTTAAAAAAATTATTTATTAAATTAATATTACTGTTTGTTTTTTTTAATTATTTTTTTTCCTGTCAAGGGCATGATTTTTTTTTTACTTATAATTCTAACTCAAAATTGCATTGATTTTTTTTTTGGGAAAATGACAAGAAAATGACTGTTGAATTCTAAAATGACAAAATGGGCATGTAAATTACTGAAATGACAAAATGGGTATGGGGTATCAATCTGAAATTTGAGTAATTCGCCAAAAAGACTGAAATGCCCTTAATTTTTTCGGGAATCAGAGGGCGGGATATTGTGCAACGGAACTGGAGTTTGGTTGGCGGTTCTCCACTCGGCGAAACTGCATAGACCATAGGGTTCTCCGAACTCTCACATTACACTCGGCGAAACTGCATATGGTTGTCGCAAGTCTCACATTGGCATGGTTGAGGAACTGTGAACGAGGAATGTGAATAGCGTCCGGCTTCTTCGTCTTTTCCGTGGGTCGTAGTGAGAAGCAATAAACCAGTGAGAAGCTTCAATCTTCAGAAGGGAGAGGGGGTGGCTAGAGAGAGAGATTTCGAGGGAGAGCACCTGTAAGGTCGTCACCGGTTGAGGAAGAAGTCGATATTCGTTCGGACCCCGGTAAGCCACCCAAATGTCTCCGTCTTGTGCTTGTCTGATTGGAGTGTTTTAATTTGGGGAAAACGGTGAATGTTGGTTGTAAAGGGGGAAGCAATGGTAAAGGCTTAAAATGGAATGTAAAGGTAGATTAGATTAAAAGTCGGTGCTTCTATGTGTGACGGAATTACAGAAGTTGCTTGCTTGCTCTGATTCATATAACTCGGTCCATGTTTGACGAGATATCTCTCTGATTGTTGTTGTCTGATTGCTGTGTTGCTGTAATGTTGGAAGGCATAATATACGTGTGTGTTTATGATTGCTAGACTACTTTTTAGATGCCCATAAATTGAGACCACTGTCGCACATGAGGCAGGATGCTTCCTGTTTCCGCCCCTTTGTTTGGTCTGTTCGTGTAATGGGCATTGCACATTTTTAGCATTGTGTATGGGACTAAAATGAGTTCAACTGTATCCCCATATTGGTTATGCAAATTTAACATTGTAAAATAAATTGAAAGGGGTGACTTTTCGTGGGTAGAACTCTGTTTTGAAGATATAGCTACCTAATGGGCATAACCTCAGTCATTTAGCGGTGCAATTTACCTGGGGATGAACATGCATATTCATTTCAGTATGTACCAAGTGAGAATAACCTTTGTGGCCTTCTTATGTATTGGTATAATTTACTTGGTCATCTGTGGCACTGTGTATTAGTAATTTCCATAATATAAGTTACTTGAAGATACAAATTTTGTAACATTTCATCGAGAAAGAATCACTTTTAATGCATATTCATTTATTTTTGAATCTGTTGGTCTGAGGATTGAAGAGGTAGAGATTAATCTGCTGGTTTGAGGATTGAAGAGGTAGAGGTCGCTGAAGTGCTGAGAAGCATCAATCGCATTGCTGTCATGGAGGAGGTTGGCGAAGTAACTGTGACTGCGACAAACGGTAATATGCAGTTGTAATAGGAATTAAGTGGTTGAGTTATATAGGTTTGGTAAGTTAGATTGTTTTTAGTTTGTTGTTAAAGTGTATTATGTCATTAGTCTCTATTTTCTGCTCTGTTCTGTGAAGTGAGAAAGAAGCAATAACATTCATTACGTGATCAGCAAATTTAGTTATATGAGTAGTAAATGGTCGAGGTTCATTTTGTGGCTAAATAACAACACCTATAATGTGAATGACTACACTGGAAATGGTAGTGACAACTTTTTTGAAATGCAAAGAAAGTTGAGCTGTTCAAC